AAAAAAAAATGAGGCACAGGTAGAGGAGGGTCTCTTAGAAGGTGCAGTTGATGCACATGAGCTGGAGGGGGGGCAAGTACTGTACAGATCTTACAAGGATTATTTGTTTGGAGAGAATAAGGTCAGTCTTTCTGCCCTTTCGTAAAGATGTTGACATCTTCATAAACTTTTGGTGTTTATTCTTTTGCCAGGTATGATCCCAAAGAAAACAAATGGACTCGAGTGGCTTCCATGAGCACCAGGCGCCTGGGAGTTGCAGTTGCTGTGCTAGGGGGCTTCCTCTACGCTGTGGGAGGCTCTGATGGGACTTCTCCTCTCAATACTGGTATGCCTTTTGCTGTCCCTTATTGTGGTCAGCGCTTCTCATGGTCTCATTTGTGCTTAGTGTGCTTAGATAGCTGTTGAATATCTTAGTGATCAGTTTGCTGTGTTCTTTATTCTTTAAAAATGTTTGTCATGGTCTCGTTTGTGCTTAGTGTGCTTAGATAGTTGTTGAATATCTTAGTGATCACTTTGCTGTGTTCTTTATTCTTTAAAAATGTTTTTTTGCCATACAGTAATACTCTCCAGACTTGTGAGCCCCTATTACCTGTTTGTGTGCTATTTTTTTCCCTCCTCCTTTCTTTCTCTATGCTGCATTTGGAAGTGTGTTCTGAATACAATACTGTGCTCATTTGCATAATGCTTGCAAGTGCATCTTTTTTTCCTGAACTAGCCCTTTCTGCTGTGGGAACGAAGGTGCCAAAGGTAAAACTACTGCAAGATGGTAATGCAGGTCAGTTTGTAGCTTTGCCAGCTCGCTCTTGAGTGAAGATGCTGAATGTGATTGACTGTGTAGGACTGGAGGCAGAAGAGATAACAGCAAGTGTTTTATAGAAGAAAAGCATTAGAGTGGGAGATAACAAAGTGGTTCATCATGGTTTTTGTTGTGCGAAGTATGTAGCATCTTTGTGGCTTGTGCAATACGTTGGATGCAGGTTCAAAAGTGCTGACCCTCACTGCCTGCCAACCCTGTTGTCCAAATGTGTGTAACTTCCTCTGCAGTGGAACGCTACAATCCCCAGGAGAACCGCTGGCACACAATCGCACCCATGGGGACGAGGAGGAAGCACCTGGGCTGTGCAGTGTACCAAGACATGATATATGCTGTGGGAGGCAGAGATGATACAACAGAGCTCAGCAGTGCTGAGAGATACAACCCTCGAACCAACCAGTGGTCTCCTGTTGTGGCCATGACATCCCGCCGGAGTGGAGTGAGTTTGGCTTGGTTTGCTTGTCTATGCTACACATGATTACGTGGTGAGAGCACAGGGAAGAGTGTCATCTTGTGATGTTTGTCTCTTGCACCCTCTGTACTTTCACCTCCTTTTCTGAAGGCAAAGGTTTGCAAAGAGTCAAAGCTCTTTAGCAAGACTAGAGAATGAAGTGGTAGTCACGTTGTGCCATAGGCAGCTGTTTAACATGCCTGAGGATGGGGAGATGGAGTTGTTGGAGTGTCTTTTTTAGTATTTTTGGTCTCTCATGCAGAGTCAGCTAATTAGGCCTCACACAGAGGAGTTCATTAGTTTTTTTACTTAGTGAAATAGCCATACTTGATATGAGATAGTATTAGAGAACACTATAAAAGTTAGTACCCGTGTCTCATCCCGCAATGCACTTTGTGAATTAGGTGAACACACCCCTACTTGTGCAGAAGAAAGGAACTGGGCAAGTATTAGTATTTAGATAAAAACTTCCACCTGAGTTCCTTTCCTTGCCTTCAGATGTGTGTGGGAGCAGGGTTCCTGGGCTTTCACTGAGTACATTGCCTCTCTTCACCAAATCCTGTGAGTATGGGGAGTGACAGCACATTCTCATGAACTGCTGATCTTCCTGCTTTCTGTAGACATGTGGACAAAAGATTAACGTAGTGTTTTAAGTAGTCATCGTGTTTGGGCAGATGCAAATGTTATGAATATCTATCATTGAATACTGGATTGTATAGTAAAGACTGGATTCATTCTGTCTGTATGTTAGTATTTCAGTGTCTGGTGAGTCAACTATGAATCATAATTTGAGCAACTGCTGGGTTTGGGTGTAAATAATATGTGTTTATTTCCATCCTTAAAGCATGTAATACACTGTCCAGCACTATCCCTTTTAGTTTTTAATTAGGCATGGACTTTTCATGAGCTGCTTCTATATTTGCTTTCTGTAGAAACTGTTCAACAGATGCATCTGTATCTGCAGCCCTCCTGAGTTTTCTGAATTCCTCAAAGCCAAAACAAGGACCATTTTATATTGTGTTCTTGTAATCTTTTTTCTGTTATGCGGCAGGATGTTTTCACTGGGAGTGATCTTTCTTAGCCACAGAACTGTTTGAGATTTCAGTGATTGTTGTGCTTCAGCAGAAAGGCAAAATAGAAAGGCTGGAGGCCAAGGTGCTTACAGATGGTCCAAGCCCCAGCCCAAGAGGAGCGAGCCAGGAGCTCCTGGTTTAAGCAAACATTCCAGTCTCATAGGCTGGTATATTCTGGTGCATTCATGCCACACTTGGTGAAGGATTTCAATCCAGGACATAAGAAGTTTAGCCAGATAAAGGCGTAGGTTCTCATGTACCTGTTATCATTCAAGCAGTTCTAGTACTCGTAGCTGGCAATAAGAAGAACCTTCTGCTTTTTCTTTAGGAGATTCTCTATTTTGAGATATATATTAAACTTACCACGTCTCCTTTTTTAGGTTATTTTAATTGTCCTTCTACCCCATCTCCCCCAAAAAACCCTCTACTGCAGACTGCCTTTCACCAAATATGGTTATTAAATCCTTTTATTAATATTTTAATTTGAGCTCTTCTTTTCAGGACATCCCAGCTAAATAGTTATTATCTATGGTGGTTGTTTTGCAGGTTGGCCTTGCAGTGGTGAATGGGCAGCTGATGGCAGTGGGGGGTTTTGATGGCACAACGTACTTGAAGACCATTGAGGTGTTTGATCCAGATGCTAACACATGGAGGTAACTGTTAAGTTTGTAAAACAATCAAATAGCAAACTGGAGCTGCCACCCATCTGGAGCTGCCCCAGCCAGATGAGAAATGTGATGTACACCATAGCAAAGGATTCGAGTGTGGGAGCCAGCACAACGTTCACATTGTGGCTTGCTGGCTTGCATGAAAGTGTGAGAAGGAGAATCACACTTTGAAATATACCCCAATATGCAATTTACCTACAGCATCCTCATGTCTATGACTGTGGGAGTAGTAGGCAGTTGAGAAACATTTTCTTGCAGATTTCTGCTTGAATTCCAGCCATTGACTCCATTTTAAGTAAAATGGGAGTGAGTTTTCCATAGTTTTCCCTATCTGAGTAGCCCAACAGATTTAACTAACAATGAATAAAGTATCATTGCATATTTTGCAGGTAGGAAAATTGTGTATAGGTAGGTTATTGAGACCCAGAGAAAATAAATGATGTAGCAGGCTTGTTGAGTAGCAGGCAAAAGGTTATGCAAAACCTAGTTTGATTTTTAAGTGCTGCTTTTGAATGTAACAAAAATGGACCACAATGAGAGAGAGCTATCCCTTCTGTTTATTTTGGGTTGAGTCTCTTCTGCTTCCCAATAAAACTAAGCCTGCCCTTAGCAGAAGGAGCTCACAGTCATGATGTAGAATTCGTCCTACTCATTTTTTGCTTTCAGGCTGAGGCTCTGATTTCCAGATCCTTTTGGAGGAGCTGGAACAGAAGCATACACACTTGGAGCATATGATGTTCTTCTCCTTTAAATCTGCAAGACAGCAATCAGACTAATTTAATCTGATTACAGGCTGAGAGAAATAATATGAAATTGCTGATCAAAACTATGTACTGAGCAGAGAAGTTATTCTTCCTATTTCTTTCCTAGTCATAACTACACTTGAAAGCAATTGTGTGTATATTTATTTCCAAATCTAATTAATATTAAATGTCAGGCTCCTATCAGTATTCTTGCTGCTTTAGTAATCTGGCAGGGTTGGGAAACAGAAAGACATTAATGTCCTTATTCCTTCTAGCCTAATAACACTAGTAGCTTAACCCTTTCCATATGAGATAAGCTGTCATAAGAAGCCATGGAGGAACTTCCCATTGTTTGTTGCGTTATGGACAATGCCTTTTGAACTGCTGAGAAAGACAGTTGGGTATAGAGTAATACCTAATTCACGTTCCTTAGCTGAATAGCTTCAGCTACTTCCAGTGGCAATAACAGTACCATGTACAGAGTTGGGAGTTACTGCCTGGGCTGGCATTCACAGAAGTTTAGGAGCTTGTTCAAGGCATCAGCTTGTGGGTTTTTTCCTCCCACTGCATTCAGTATAGCTGATCAACATCTGTGGTCTTCTCTTTCTTTTGTTTGCTGAACTTCTTGCTCTGTGAAGGAGAGCAAGAAGTCTTTAATTTTCTAAAATTGTGTAGCCTGACTGAGAAACACTTCCAATGCAATTTTGGTTTCAAAAAGTGCATTGGCAGGAGTTGTTTGAAGAACTTGCTTCTCCTGTTTCTGCCAGCACACTTCAGTGGCACAGAGGGGAATATGCATCTGAAGCAAGTAGGATGCTGCTGTCTATAGGGATCAGATTTCCATGTGAAATGCAGGCACTATTTCAGTAACATATTTTGGAGAAACAGATGGTGCTTAGGATGTGTTACTTCTTGGTTAGATCAGCTGAATTTAGAGTATTAGAAATATAAAATAAATTAGTTTACTCATAAGTAGCCAACCTATCCTTGCTCTTGATGTAGCCCAAGGTCAGCTACAACCTGTAAAGTTCTTTTCTGTCTTGCTTTCCTCCTGTCTGGTAATGTACAAATGATTACTCGAGTAACTAAAAACTGTGGTGACAAAATGAGAAGCAGTTTCGAGAGAGAAAGGCATGAGTGAACACAGCTGTTAACCTTAAGTATATAAAATGACTGCTACGCATCATGGTCTACTTTAACCAGAGATTAACAGTGCTGTAATTGTGCTTACAAGGGCGGGTTCAGTCTTTGCCGTGGTAGATCCATGGAAGAGCTGAGCTAGCGTGACCCCTGAAACGTTGTCTTTGCAGGTTGTATGGTGGGATGAACTATCGGCGGCTGGGAGGAGGAGTAGGTGTTATCAAAATGACACACTGTGAATCCCATATATGGTAAGCATCAAGAGGGAGGGAGACCCCTTGGTTCTCATTCCTAGAAAAACCGAAGAGACTTGTTGACACTGGACCTCTTTGCAGCTCTAGTATGCACGGTCTAGATCCAATGTAACTCTTTGCCGATGACTCTTTCTATGGAATTATAAAAACTACTTCTGTGAGAGCGTGCCCAATGGGAGACCACGTTGTCAGACTCCAGGGAACCACTGGACAAAAGTCGAAGTGTTGCTTATGTCCGTATTTTTTCTAAATAGTCTACATTTTTGAATAAACCAAACTGTAAAAGTTATTGTAGCGTAAACAATGCTGATGTAGAGACTACAGGCTATACTGGGAGTCTGGCAAGGAGGAGGCTTTCCTGCTTTTTCTCCTGCTGTGTGAGCAGTGGATGTGGCAGCTGTGTGGTGGGCGAAAGAGGAAAGTGATACAGAAAACATTGCTTTTGCCTTATTTACAGAGAGCTTCAAAAAAGTACTTGACCTGCAAGGTGCCACCTTTTGCACAGAAGCTTTTCTGTGCACAGAATATATTTATTTTTTCATTTAATTTGTATCATGTATTTTCTTTGTATTGTTCACAGCGATAATTCTAGCTTTTCTATACATATATATGTGTGTGCATATATATATGTATATGTGTGGGTGTGATTTGAGTTTTGAGAAGCTGGTGGTTCGGACAGGGCTGTGTCCTGCCAGCTACTGTGGTTCCAACCCTTGTGGTATGTTTTAGGGTCTCTTAGAGTACAGGAGAGCTATGAGGATGGATGCCCTGAGTATCTTTTCAGTCTTGCTAGAGGCAAGTAGAACTGGAACTCTCATCCATCGACTGAATCAGTGAAGTGCCCAAAAAGGGTGAGAGTGAAAAGGATTTCAAATGATGCCTTTTTACTGTACAGCGTATGGTACAGAAGTTCCGCTTTTGTCTCTCCCCTCCCCTGTATATGAACCTAGAAACAACTAGCTGTTGCTTACTTAGGAAAAGTTTTCTCACGTTGCCTGCGAGATGTCAGTCTTTGTCTGAAGCTGGGATGCAGGTATTGTCTGTTAGTCCTGACTCGCCTAGATCAACACTCACTTCTCAGGTTCTTGCTAGAATGGCAGACCCAGTCAGCTCCTGCTGA